TGGGGGCTCATGTGCATCCAGCAAAAGCTGGGATAAATTGCCGTCTCAGTAATTTGAGGCCATTCCTGACCAGTTTTGTGTTGCATTTTCCATAAAACTGAACGGGGGAATCTCCAGTGCAATGGGAGCATCCTTGATTTGCAACAGTATTTCTAAGAAGTATTTGAGGATTCCAAATTTTTGAATCATTACATAGTAATGCCATGATCAGTGGCATTCAAGTCACCCTGGTTTTAATGTTTAGGATGATCGATTTATGTAATAACATAATAGGGAAAGCTTTTTAATAGATGAATCTGCCATTTCAGTAAATTCTTATCCATACATTATGTACTATACAATCATTCTTCAAATATGATGTCCCCAAGCATGACTAGCAAATTAATGAAGAAAAATATAGACAGTCTTTATTTTTTTTAACCAGTATGTGATAATAAACAATTATTTCTGCAGCTGCTAATAAAGCAGTGATTTTTTCTGATTCTAGAAAGCAGTGACAAAAAACTCTGTTATTAGGAGGACTTCATTAAAAGGTTTAATATAGCTAAGCTGTTTGCCTGGTATCATCATTGAGCAACAAAATTAACAACAAAGACCCATTTCAAGCTATAAAATGAAGGGTTAGATTTAACATTAGACTTCAGGAGAGATGGCACTGTGACCATGAAAGTTTAATGCCTTTATTTGCTCCCTGTGAATAGTATATGTGGCAGGCAGTAGCTCTACCTCACTCAACTCCTGTGGCTCATTACAAGTAAATCAACCCGCAAGCATTATTAGGCCTCTCTGTTGTGAATCCAAGATGGATGCTGGCTGGTTGTGACCTTTTACTGGTTTTGCATTAGGTTGTTTTTCTGGATTAAACTGCTAGCCGAGCCATTCTCATTAAGGAGAAAAAGTAGAGAGTCAGAGTAGGTGGAAGATGTCTGCCTGAAGTAGGTTATAGTCTGCAGCATTACAACAACCATTTGTTGTACTCCCTGTAGTGTGCATTATCTGATGATTGTGACAAGTTGCAGCAGTCTGGGAAAGTATTTCAGGTAAACAGGGTTTACTTGTGTTTCCATCCACACTATAGAGCTCACTTAATACTTATGTGGCAAGGCTGGAAAAATGTAGACTGTGTTTGATTTACATATCAGTGCTTTTTGGAGTTGTGAAAGTGTGAAAACAGCAGTAAGCCTATGACAAGGTGCTCTGAGGACTTAGATTTGTTTCTTCATGTGGATAGTGTTTACCTTACCAAACAACACCAGAGGCACCAAGATCTGAAGCTTATCCCCATGGGGGACGTGATACGATACAGCAAGGGTACAGTACCTTGTACACACTTCAGGGAGGAGCATGTGTAGGTGCATTTGTGTATGTCAGGACAGATTCTACACAGCCGCACTTACTTACAAATTCAGCAACTATTTCTGTCTTCTGTCTCTCTCCCTCTGTGCGTTGCAGATAAGAAAATGGCTCTAGCAGCCGTATTAACAGTGTTTCCAGAAACCGCCATTGTTTCCTGAGCCATTACTAAACAGGGATTAAAATTAATAGCTTAAGTCATGGTACCATTAGAATTGGTGACAAAACATTCAATCCAGTTTGTCGTAAGAGTGCTACCTTACCATTCTGTGTGTACTGAAATAAGTTGTGCTGGTGTCATTATTTATGTCTTTATTCATGAATGGTTCTTAAGTATGGGACATTTTTGGTTTAAAAGGGAAATATATAGACTCACTGTGAGGTTGGCACTCTGGTTACAAATGGTGATATTAATTATATAAATTATTATAATTATAGAGAGACACGTATGTGAGAATGCTGTTTGTAGATTACAGCTCAGCATTCAATACCATCGTTCCCTCGAAGCTGGACAGGAAACTGCAGGATCTAGGACTGAGCAGCTCCCTCTGCAGCTGGATCCTTAACTTCCTGTCTGACAGACGCCAGGTGGTCAGACTGGGCAGCATCACCTCATCCCCCATCACACTGAACACTGGTGCTCCACAGGGGTGTGTACTGAGCCCTCTCCTGTACTCACTCTACACCTACAACTGCACGGCCACTAACAACTCCAACATCATTGTGAAGTTTGCGGACGACACTACAGTGGTGGGTCTTATCACCAATGGTGATGAGACAGCTTACAGGGAGGAGGTCAGCGCCCTGACCCACTGGTGTCAAGACAACCATCTCACCCTCAACGTCGCAAAGACAAAGGAGTTGATAGTGGACTTCCGGAGGTGCAGAGAAGTACACACCCCCATCACCATCAATGGCGCTGCTGTGGAGAGAGTGAGCAGCTTCCGGTTCCTTGGTGTACATCTGGCTGAGGATCTTACGTGGTCAGTACACACAAACAAAACAGTGAAGAAGGCGCAGCAGCGCCTCTTCTTTCTCAGGAGACTGAAAAGATTCGGCATGAGCCCCCGCATCCTCAGGACCTTCTATCACTGTGCCATTGAGAGCATCCTCACTGGATGCATCACCACCTGGTATGGCAACAGCACCGCCTACAGCTGCAAAGCTCTCCAGCGAGTAGTGCGGTGCTCTGAACGGATAATTGGAGGTGAGCTTCCCTCCCTCCAAGACATCTACAGGAAGCGCTGCCTGAGGAAAGCGGGGAGGATCATCAAGGACTCCAGTCACCCCAGCCATAAACTGTTCAGACTGCTTCCATCAGGAAGGAGGTTCTGCAGCATCCGGTCCCGTACCAGCAGACTGAGAGACAGCTTTTTCCATCAGGCCATCAGACTGCTGAACACTTCATAGACACCTCAGCTTCACTACTGGAACTTCAACACTATGCACTCCACACTGTATATAAATGCCACTTGTTTTGCACATATTCAAATCTGTATATTTTATATATTTTATTATTTTTATTTTTATTTATTTTTTTTTTTACTATTTAATTTGTAAAATGTGTATACACACACACACACACACACACACACACACGTAGGAAAATATTTAGTATACACATCCAGAAATGCATACACTATTATATATTGTACATATATTTATTAGTTTCAGGTTGGCCATTCTTGTATTTTGCTCGTTTGTGTTGTTGTGTTTGCACATCTCTGTTGCTTGTGGGGCTCGCACACAAGAATTTCACTCGCATGTGCTGTACCAGTGTGCCTGCACATGTGATGTGACAATAAAAGTGATTTGATTTGATTTGATTATGGTAGGGCATTGTTAAGGGGCTATAAGGCATTCAAACATAACAAAGGGCTCGAAAACAAGAGAAGAATCAAGGTTGTGTCTACACGTGAAAGACAACAAAGAACCCATTTCAAATTATATCTTAAAGCACTTTGTTCACAGCAGTCTGTTGCATAATGTGTTCCAAATTTCTTCAGTTGAATCTAGATTAAGATCACCAGAACACCAATTTGATAGTAATTTAATTGTATTTTTGCACTCACAAAGTGCTTCAAAGGCCTATTAGCTGAAATATTGCCATATCTCAGTATGGTGTGCACGGGGTCCTTAACTGGGTGCATAAAAGAAGTGCCAGGCCTAAAAAACTATCTGCCCTGATCAGACAAGGACCTGAGAAATGCATCTGGCCCTGCAGCTGATCCTCGTACTGTTCGTTGAATTCAGAAATTTATTTTTAAAAGCCATTATTAAAAAAGGAAAACAGCGAGGAAAGGCCGAGTTATGCAAAATTACTCAAGAACTGGACGGAAAATCAGTCAATCCAAATTATTGTCTGAATGTTTGGAGGAGTTGGCATTTCAGCCAGTGGTTTTTGCCACTCTGCACACGTTTCAGTAAATTCCTGCACCCATTTCCCTAGCAAAATATAAAGAAATGATGCGTGGCTCAAGACTTTTGCACAGTACTGTGTGATAGGTAAGAAAAGCTACAGTTAAATGCCAGTTTGTTTGTTTATTAAATTCATTTTAGAATTTAAAAATGGCTTGTAGGTCACTGCAGGTGTTATGGGAAAAAAGAGACGTCAGCATCATAATGTTACTGTGCATTGCATAGTAATGGGATTTGTGTTAAATCTGATTATATTTTAGGCTCCCAGTTATTTCTACTACATTGTTTCTTTTTCAAACATTTCTTTTGTAAAATCACAAGAATAAATGTAATAAAAAATGAAGAAATTTAAAGATGTGGACTAAGTGATGTGTTGAATCTTGAAAAGTAAGCAGGGTTGCTGTTGCTGAACAGAGCACCGAAAGATATGCATAACTAAATAATCGACTTTAGAAAATAGGCTGTAGTTTACTTTTAATGGAGCTTCCTTTAGTAGCAGCATTTTTATATTTTGTTATTGTGTATGTGCAGCTGGAGTAATATCAGCAGGTCTCACCAAACACAGCTGCATAAAGAGAGATATGCTCACACCTTGAAAGGTTTATTTTGACATTTCATGCTTGCCAGTGGCAGGTTATTAAGTTCTTACAGCGCAGCAGACTCGAGTTCAAGCCCCAGCAACGCAGAGCGATGATGAGCGATGGAAGTAGAAACACACACGCATTCATCATAACCCTGATTTATTGGGGAATAACCTTTTGCGTTCAGCTAGTCAATAACTTAGCGTCTCTTTGTATTGACTGCATTTAATTGTTGACAACAAGAGCGAGAAGGAAGCAAAGGACGAACATGCAGCTAAAATGATGTAATTCAGTGTTGCAGTTTTCTTTAACTAGTGTTGGTTTTAGTATTATTTTTAGAAATTCACATGATGCATATATGTTTTTTGGCTTGTGAAATGATAGCATACATCACAAAGAGCTTTGTGCGCTGATTGTGTAATGAAAGTTAAACTGGAGGTGCAATAAATCACACTTCTCAATATTTTTCAAGTTTCCTTGCTATCGAACTTATCTCATTGATCCATCAGCTCTGCTCTCTCTCTCGTACCAAACAAGTTCATTTTCTGAACACGCATAAAATCTCTGTTTCTCTCTGGAGTTAACGCAACTAAATGTGCTGCTAAATCTGTGGGACTTCAAAGCTGTTTTTCTCTGCTCTTTTGCCAGGGTCATCACAGATAGCCAACTGCTATCTGCCTCCCCAGGCAAGACTTAAAGCTTTGACTGTCGGTTTGCGGTTATAGTTCAAACTTGGCTTCAGCATTCAGACGACCAGGAGCAGCAGAAGCAGCACCAACTACACACACATGAGAGCCGGAGCACAGAGAAAAATATGAAAAAGATATATATTGGCAAAACTGCTCTCAAAACCCAGAGAAACGGTTGCAAACATCAAAAAAGGAGGTAAGACGAGTCAGTCAGCAGAGTTATTCAGAATTTAAACATCGACCGCATCATTGATGAATCCATTTCATTCATTTTAACTGGTGGAAATGGATTCTCATTGGGAGGTTATAACCATTAAAAAGCCATTAAAAACATAGCGTTGTATCTATTCATTGCCATCGCTCATCATCACATTCCTTCATGTGTTGGCTGACATTTAAATCTAGTTTAATGGCGCTCTGCTTTGGACCAAAAACAGAGGACACCAGCAAAAGGTTTGGGGCTCCTTGCCATGTATTTTTTTAACAACATTACTTGAAGCTGGTGTAAAGAGTGTGTTGCAAAATCACTTAGGAGGGCAAACCTGCATCGGGATATTGAACAGATAAAATAAACTATCCAGCGATCGTCTCTGTTTCTCTCTTTGTAAACAAGCAAGAAGTGCTGTGTTTAGCTGCTGGAGGTGCAGGCGAACTGTTTGACCGTTCCTCTAGTGTTTATAAGCTAAAAGCATTCTGGCTCTGATTCCATACTTGAAGGGTAGCATCACATTTTGTATAATACACTTGTTCACGTCCCTACACAGAGTAAGCCTGCAGACACCGTGTCCGAGGATTAAAACTGCGAGGGGGAGGGGGGACTAGAGCAGTTTTACGTCTCTATTCACTTTCGTCTACCACAGCATCAACAAAAGTGAGTGCTGACATGGTATTCAAACCACACTGTCCCAGGTGAAAGTCGTGTATTTTGCCAAATGTGTCTACAGAAATTAAAGAGAAGTGTGATTGGCCTTTCCATCATGGGCTCAATATCATGAAGACAAAGTACCAGGAGGTCTTAGACCAGTTCCTTTAAAATGTGCTGAAAGATTTTAAACTGGCTTTAAACATGTTACTAACTCCAGCTCAAAATGCAATTCTCAGACCTTTGCTGACCTCGGTTTAGCATATGATCAAGACTGGAAAAGAAAAAAAACTTTCACAGTACTTAGCATGAGGTCCCATGCATATAAGATTACCTCTTATGACTTTATAAAGGCTTAATTAATGCAGATTCTCAACTGAGGACACAGACGTGAAGGCTAGCCTATTGCACCACCCCTTTACATGGCATAGCCTCTAAGTTACTATGGACACTCCAACTTTAGTGTCAGATTAGCTTGAGGCTTAGAACTGAGGTGAACTTGGAAGATGCTGTCATTGCGCCTGCTGGATGGTTAGGCCGAGCCATCAAACTTCTCCATGAGCCAAGTATCCATCAGTTTGGCACAATGCTAAATCCCCCAGAGCGCACATGGCTCCTGCTCCCAATCTTTATAGCCTTCCACTACCATATCCATTCCCACAGTCAGTCCCACAGTGTGTTTTCATTGTTAATGCGCAAAACCGCATCAAACACACAACCAAAGTATTTCTTCCTGCCTGGTGTTGTTGACAGGGATGGTGTTGAAACAGTGCTCTTTTGGCCTCTCATTCTCTCTCATGCCATCTTTCTTTTAAAGCATTCTCGTACACAAAGTTGTGTTTCATTCTGTATTTTCGCCCCTTCTTCTATGAATCACCAGTGGTCCACGTCCAGGGGCAAAAATCTTTTTCTATTCTTTCACACATTTGATGGTGAAGGGGGTGGAGGGTGTAATAAAAATTCACCATTACACCGATGGGAGCTCCTTTCCCAGTTCTACTCCTTTTTTGTGAATGGGAAATGATTAGTAGTCCTCCTCCATCCATCTACTCCTCCCCATCGGCCTCCCTGCTATCCCCTGCCTGGGACCTCTCTGACCCCAAACTGAATTACACTCCAGCTACACTTCACCCTTTTCCCTCCCTCTCACACTAACACATAATGCCTTTTCAGCTTGTCTCTGTTTTCTCTAGCATTCTGTGCTTGGCTTGTTGAATCTGACAAACTGACAGAAATAAAAGTGCACCACTATTGTGCGACTTTATCTTCTTCTTTCCTTTTCTCTAAACGCTCTCTGCTATCTGTTCAGCTCATTTCACGACCACAAGGATGACCTACGTAAGCGCCTGTCGTACACTACCCACAAACTAGAGATGGTGGAAACTGAGTTTGACTCCACTCGGCAGTACCTCGAGACAGAGCTGCGCCGGGCCCAGGAGGAACTGGAGAAATTTACAGAGAAGCTGCGCAGGTGTGTGTGCTCGCGTGCATGGCTTTATGAGATGGCTGCCTTTTTATTCATGCATTTTGTGGCACAACTTTCATTTCCTGGTTTTAGCTTAAGAAGGGCAATTTTTGGGACGTAGGAAGCAAGTTTTATTGAGAAAATGAATACGGTTTAGATAAATCATATTGAGTCTACATATTTACAGTTTTCACTTTTATACATTTCTGTTGCTTTTTAATTCTTTGACAGTCAATTATCTGGGTCTTTTCCAGTATTTTAAAAGACTTCTCGCAGGTGGTTTGAACACCACCCCGTCATCCTCTTCTGCTTTTTACTTAGGTGGTGGTGGCAACAGGCTAAGCAGGGTATTCAGAACATCTCACAGAAGTCTGAATGAAATGGCCAAATAGCTTTGAACTGATAGGAAAGCAAGGGTAACTCAAATAACCACTAGTAACAACCAAGAATGTTAAAGACTGAAGCAGATTGGCTACAGCAGCATAAGACCACACTACTCAAGGCGCCATTCCTATCAGGCAACAACAGGAAACTGAGACTGCAATTCACCCTGCTCACCAAAACTGGACAACAGAAGACTGGAAAAGTGTTGCGTAGTCTGATGAGTCTTGAGTACTGCAACATTCAAAGAGTGGGTTTAGAATTTGGCATTAACAGCATAAACACATCGATCCATCCTACTTTGTGTCAACAGTTCATGCTGATGGTGGGGTAATGGTGTCTGGAATATTTTCCTGGCACACTTTGGGCCCCCGCAGTATTCTCATAACCATTATTTAAACACCACAGCTTTATTACCACCACTTTATGACCACAGTGTATCCATCTTCTGATGACTGCTTCCAGCAGTCAATACAATTTCACAAAGCTCAGATTATCTCAAATTGGTTTCTTGAACATGACAGTGAGTTCATTGCATCTAAATGACTTGCACAGTCACCTAGATGCAATGAACAGTCCGATAGAGTACCTTTGGGATGCTGTGGAATGGGAGTTCTTCAGCAGGTATGGGAGAACCTGAAAAACCTCCAAACAAATACCCTAACACCACAAATAGGGACTTTACTCCAGGATTATCCAGTCCCTTACCATTTTGCTAAGACTGAACTCAGCCACCATAAAGAGGGAAAGCATCTTGCATTGCATTCTTTTGGTTGTTACCAAGTGCTCATGACCATAGGTGAAGGTAAGCTCTCTCTTAACTACAGCAATCCAGTACAATGCCCACAGTGCTGTTGATGTTGCAGCAGTCTGCCAGTACATCCTTACTTGGAACAGCTCCAGTGGATGCCAGAGGCACATAAATGAAGCCAGAAGAACTACATCATCAAAAATCAAGGATGCAACTCTGAGTTTCCCAAAATAGACACCGTCCTATTCACAGTGTTGGGAAGGTTACTTTTAAAATATATTCCACTACAGATTACAGAATACATGCCCCAAAATGTATTTTGTAACATATTCCGTTACGTTACTCAATAAGAGTAACGTATTCTGAATACTTTGGATTACTTAATATATTATCATGCTTTTTACAACTGCATAAATGTACTATTGCTGTGTGATTTATTACTATTACTGAAGGTTACTCGCCATACCAATACCTACTAAATTTTTAAATCTTAATATAAAATGAGTAATAGTAGGGTGGACATTATGTAAGGCTGCACTTTTTGCAGTGATTTCATATAGAAAACTATTCCACGCGTATATAAAACAGGTTCGCGGCTCCGAACTGTAGTAAAGGGACCTCTGGCTAATACGTCGGGTTTGTGTCGGGCTCATACCCGAAAACTAGCTTTACGTCGTTGTCTGGGTCAACTTTGCTAGCGTGAGACAGAGAGAGGCGTTGAAAGGCTGCTCCAATGGAACTTATTGTTTCAGAGGAAAACACGAACACAGTGTACAGTCGAGTCTTAATATAAACATATTTTGTATTTTAAATACGTAACGCTGGTACTTCTATTCCGTTACTCCCCAGCACTGCCTATCCATCATTATAGTAATTAAGTCCATATTGGATGAGTCCAAACTTTTATGACATGACTTCATGACATAGACACAGACTTTATTTAATGCCACACTGGGGAAATCCACTTGTTACAGCAGCACAAGGGACAGGAAGAAAAATGTGAAGTAGAGCTATATTAGAAAACAATAAAAATAGAAAAAATACATTAGAAAATTTGTGTACAAACGCCAGTATTGATTCAGAATGAGCCTGTTCTAAAGCATCTGATATAAGGCTATTGTATTTAATGGAAAGTAAACTAAAAACTAAAACTTGATATTTTAATTAAATAACTAATTAAAAATTTCAATAAGACTTTTGAAAAAACTAACGATTTTGTGAACTGGGAAAATTAACTCAAATTAAATAAAAAATGCAGAGGAAAGAAAAACCTTAGTTTTAGTGTTTGTTAGTTTAATAAACATTTTATTGCAGTGTACCTGATGAAGTGTTGATGGACATGTTTACTGAAGATTCTTCAGTTCAGTAAACATGAACCTATAAAAGTGAGTAAAATGCAGCTGAAATATAAAAAATCAAAGGTTTACTTATTCAAATAGTGAATATTAATCATTAAAGTAAAGTGAATGTGTCATGATCTGAGGAGTTGGCATATCATATGTGTGTCGGGATTCAAGGAATGTGGAAACCCAAGTGCAGATATGCATAGGCAAATACAAGTTAAGTAAAGACGAGCCATTTATTTAGGAAACAGGAAGAGAATTAAGTAAACAGAACGATAATATACACATGAATTGACTGAATTCAATGGAATTGACACATGAGGAAGGGGGCACAGCGTGTGTCAGACACTTAGCTCAAGAAATACAAGACAAGGAACCAACTACATACTGGGAACAGAGATAGTACTAAGACAGACTGGACACGAAAGAAAACTAATTAAACCAAAAAAACAAGTGCTAAAAAGGCAAATAACTAAACTAGGAAGCACTGGGGAGAAATCATGTCCACATGGAGAGATCAAAATAGACCAGAAAACATAGTCCCAGGGACAGGCCTGTCCACTGGGGACCAACAGATGCAACAGTTCATGGGGGCCAGCTCCCCCACAACGCAAGCTCCAGGGCAGATGTCAACGTAGTCAAGTCATTTCTGGGAACCAGTTGCAGAGCCAGAGCTCTGGCAGCCAGCCATTGGGGAGCCCGTAGGCGACACTGACGACCCCTCCAGTGACTTAGGTGGTACTTTGATTAACTTAAATGTCTTGATAAACTGTGCCTAGGTGGCCTGAAGTCCTTCAACACTCCTGATACAATGCATGCCAGTCATATTTCGCAAGTTGCACAATTTTACTTCATAACAAAGCTCAGTTTGTTCATGCACCTTTAATATGAGTAACAGTGCTCAGTGTTCCCTTATTATGGCAGGTTTTACTACAGTTATTTATTCACTATGGTGTGAGCCACTCTCTGTCAGCTCTACTCACTCATTCCCATTTATGCTCCCTCTTTAGCTTGTCAAATCTCTTCCAGACCTTTGTTTTATGATCTGTCTTTGCCTCTGATCTCTACTGCCCACAGTCTCCAAATCTGTCTGCTTAATGGAGCCATAAAGGCTAGTTTATCAACACTCTCTTTGGCCTGAGAGCTAATGGGAAAATGTAATACAGAGCTGAGAGGTGACAGGATAAAATAAGAGGAATAAGTTAACAAATATAAAATCAGGGGCATGTTACATTAAGCATTAAGTTAATGCAATGGTCTACTTAAGAGCAAAACCGATAATAAATACTAATATTATCAGTAAGGGAAAATAACAAAATGATAAAAACTACAGAAAATGAAGAAACAGAATTTAAAAGGGAGGAAAAAACTTATGTGGTATTTAACTATAAAGTCATAGTCATGCTTCCTTATTCTTTTCATATAATATTTATGGATGTAAAAGTTTTTTGTGCCCACTTTTTATGTGTTAGATTCCCCTGGTGTTGCACTTAAACATATCATCAGCCCTTTTTGTGGCATTTTAGTTCAGCAGATTTATAACCACAGTGATCCTTAAGTCTAAGTAAGAACTTAAGATATCCTGCAAATCCCATCTGAGACTTTCTGTCAGCGCTGATGTTGTAAATGTTTTATTCCTCTAAATTTATGTGCTGATCACCGCTGCTTGTTTTGGTTTACGAACAGTAAAACACCCTTTACTCGTCATATTGTGCAGTTTGCATTTTTAAGTGCGTTAACTTCTCCGTTCGTTTTTTTTTTTTGCAGGATCCAGAGTAGCTATGCAGCTCTTCAGAGGATCAACCAGGATTTGGAGGACAAGATGCACAGGGCGGTAAGAATCCCCTGCTGAAGTTTTTGCAAGTCTTTTTAAATTTTTTTTAAAACCTTGCGTAACTGTATCTTTCATTGACACTGAAGCATCCAGTTACATAAGGTTACATATAGTACAAGCGCCACTAAAATCTTATTTTGTTTTGTAAATCATGGTGGAAGGTATTCTTTATTGTGTTGGAAAACATCACAGTGTTCTTGATGTTTTCCATATGGACATTAAAACTATGTCATTTCACAGTCTGTACAGTTATGAAAAGTTATTTGGTAAGCCGAACACGTCAAATTAATTTTACATCATGGGCTACATACAGGGAGTGCAGAATTATTAGGCAAATGAGTATTTTGTCCACATCATCCTCTTCATGCATGTTGTCTTACTCCAAGCTGTATAGGCTCGAAAGCCTACTACCAATTAAGCATATTAGGTGATGTGCATCTCTGTAATGAGAAGGGGTGTGGTCTAATGACATCAACACCCTATATCAGGTGTGCATAATTATTAGGCAACGTCCTTTCCTTTGGCAAAATGGGTCAAAAGAAGGACTTGACAGGCTCAGAAAAGTCAAAAATAGTGAGATATCTTGCAGAGGGATGCAGCAGTCTCAAAATTGCAAAGCTTCTGAAGCGTGATCATCGAACAATCAAGCGTTTCATTCAAAATAGTCAACAGGGTCGCAAGAAGCGTGTGGAAAAACCAAGGCGCAAAATAACTGCCCATGAACTGAGAAAAGTCAAGCGTGCAGCTGCCAAGATGCCACTTGCCACCAGTTTGGCCATATTTCAGAGCTGCAACATCACTGGAGTGCCCAAAAGCACAAGGTGTGCAATACTCAGAGACATGGCCAAGGTAAGAAAGGCTGAAAGACGACCACCACTGAACAAGACACACAAGCTGAAACGTCAAGACTGGGCCAAGAAATATCTCAAGACTGATTTTTCTAAGGTTTTATGGACTGATGAAATGAGAGTGAGTCTTGATGGGCCAGATGGATGGGCCCGTGGCTGGATTGGTAAAGGGCAGAGAGCTCCAGTCCGACTCAGACGCCAGCAAGGTGGAGGTGGAGTACTGGTTTGGGCTGGTATCATCAAAGATGAGCTTGTGGGGCCTTTTCAGGTTGAGGATGGAGTCAAGCTCAACTCCCAGTCCTACTGCCAGTTTCTGGAAGACACCTTCTTCAAGCAGTGGTACAGGAAGAAGTCTGCATCCTTCAAGAAAAACATGATTTTCATGCAGGACAATGCTCCATCACACGCGTCCAAGTACTCCACAGCGTGGCTGGCAAGAAAGGGTATAAAAGAAGAAAAACTAATGACATGGCCTCCTTGTTCACCTGATCTGAACCCCATTGAGAACCTGTGGTCCATCATCAAATGTGAGATTTACAAGGAGGGAAAACAGTACACCTCTCTGAACAGTGTCTGGGAGGCTGTGGTTGCTGTGGTTTAATTTTAAATTTCCACATCCTCTCGAGCTCTTCTCTGAGCCCTTGGTATTTCTCCAGCTTCTCGTGTTCCTTCTTCCTGATATTGCTGTCATTCGGAACCGCTACATCGATCACTACGGCCGTCTTCTTCTGTTTGTCTACCACCACTATGTCCGGTTGGTTAGCCACCACCATTTTGTCCGTCTGTACCTGGAAGTCCCACAGGATCTTAGCTCGGTCATTCTCCACCACCCTTGGGGGCATCTCCCATTTTGACCTCGGGACTTCCAGGTTATACTCGGCACAGATGTTCCTGTACACTATGCCGGCCACTTGGTTATGGCGTTCCATGTATGCCTTGCCTGCTAGCATCTTGCACCCTGCTGTTATGTGCTGGATTGTCTCTGGGGCATCTTTACACAGCCTGCACCTGGGGTCTTGCCTGGTGTGATAGACCCCAGACTCTATGGATCTTGTACTCAGAGCTTGTTCTTGTGCTGCCATGATTAGTGCCTCTCTGCTGTCTTTCAGTCCAGCTTTGTCCAGCCACTGGTAGGATTTCTGGATATCAGCCACCTCCTCTATCTGCTGGTGGTACATACCGTGCAGGGGCCTGTCCTTCCATGATGGTTCCTCGTCTCCCTCCTCTTTCTTGGGTTTCTGCTGCCTGAGGTATTCACTGATCACTCGGTCAGTTGGGGCCATCTTCCCAATGTATTCTTGGATGTTCGTTGTCTCATCCTGGACTGTGGTGCTGACACTCACCAGTCCCCGGCCCCCTTCCTTCCGCTTAGCGTACAGCCTCAGGGTGCTGGACTTGGGGTGAAACCCTCCATGCATGGTAAGGAGCTTTCTTGTCTTTATGTCAGTGGCTTCTATCTCCTCGTTTGGCCAACTTATTATACCAGCTGGGTACCTGATCACGGTAATCAATCCAGGCACAGGTTGGTCAGCCTGGTCTTGCAGTCTCGGCTGACTGTTCTTTCTACCAGTAGCTGGTGTTTTGCGCCTCTGGTATTCTTGCCAATCCCTTTCAGTGCCCTGCTCATGTATTGACCCATGTGCCTGTTCATCTTAGCCGATATGATGCCTGACAGGAGCTTCCATGTAGTACTGAGGCGGTAGTTGTATGGGACCGGTCCCTTCTTGGGGTCCTGGGGTTCTTGGGGTCTTCAGCCAGTAGGCGTGAACCATGTCGGGGCCTGGTGCTGTCCAACTCTTCATACTGGAGACCCTTGCTTGGATGTCTGCCACCGTGATGGTTACTGGACCCTGTTCAGGGAGGTTGCTATGGTCTGGTCCTCTGCTCCAAAGGCCTGTAGTCTAACCACTATGCTATCCAGCTGCTATATATATATATTTAGGGATGGGTATTGATAAGATTTTCACGATTCCGATTCCATTTTCGATTCTGTTTAACGATTCGATTCTTTATCGATTCTCTTATCGATTCTTTTTTTTTTTAAAAAGGAGAACACTAAGGTCGATTAGCTTAGAACTTTGTTTTATATCTTCTCTTCGAACAAGGTAGAAATTTAGGAGTAACATGGCCTTACAAACCCAACAGTGAGATCTTAAGAGATCCCGCCTACGGCTCTTCAATGGGGTGTCACAGGGTCCCCAGGAAAAAAAATTGTAAATGTAAAATAATAAAATAAATATTCATCTGTAGCAATAACAAAGTATAACATAAATTGTTCTGTGGCAACTACACAAGAATATCCAGTAATGTCCCTGCCTACAATTAAACACATTCACTTACTGAAAATCAGGGCATCTGCTGTGGCAGCCTTTTACCACAAATTTAGTCACTGCTCGGTGACATTCGTCTATCCTGGCCTGAAAGGAGACGCTACCAATAGACTGCAGCGAGAACTGCCAGCATCTGAGCCAGCCAGACTCTGTCCGTCTCTCTCATCATGGTCACCTAAATGCACAGTAATGGCAGGTTTTGTAATAAGGCAGATCGCGCTAACATAATATGCACTGTTAGTTGATTATTTACCTGCCACATTAACGGGAGAGGACGTGCAAACGTTACCGCTGCTGCTGGGTTGAGATTCACGAGTCCGGAGCGGAATTAAAAACCCGACATTCATTTAAGGTCATCGCGTGTTTTGTGAGCAAATGATTTTGCATATTCGTAGTGTTTCCTCCCTTAAATGAAATATCTACTTTGCAAGTATTGCAAGTTGCCCTGTTGTCATCCGTTCTCATAAAGTATAATCAAACTTTTGAGCGTTTGAGCCGCTTAGGCGCCGTGTTTCCTGCCAGGTAAATGAGGCTCCGCAACGTGGTGACGTCATTCGGGGCGACTGGAATCCATAAGGGAATCGTTTGCAAAAATGTCAAACAATTCCAAGGAATTGAAACAGTGGCAACCGGTTTTCGATACCCATCCCTAATGTATGTGTGTGTGTGTGTGTGTGTGTGTGTGTGTGTGTGTGTGTGTGTGTGTGTGTGTGTGTGTGTGTGTGTGTGTGTGTGTGTATGTATATATATATATATATATATATATATATATATATATATATATATATATATATATATATATATATATATATATATATATATATAAATAAAAAGAAAAGATACCAGAGTTTGATGTAAACAGACTTAACAGCGCAGGTAGGAAACAACCCAATCTCAAAACGAATTCGCCAGTTAGGATTAGATGTAACTTTATGTGTAAAAGATTTTGTTAAATAATACAAAATGTGGAACCATAGGAACACTTTCATTTTTAAGACCAAAGTGATCTGTTGATATTACTCAAACTTGGGTCTAAATCATGACAGTTCATTTTAATGAGACCCACTACATCTATGCTTAGACTGGAATTCATTGATGCCATTGGTTCTGCTATCATTGTTAATACTGACGTTAAAAAAGCAAGCTCTAATATTCTGCATGTATATTACAGTAAATTATGATGTACAGATGTAACAAATGCAGAATACTTTAAATAGACAAATTTTGGCGTTATCTCAAAATTTGAAGTTATGTATGTTGAAATGTTTTAACTCAAAATGCTGAGAAAATAAGTAGAAATGGACAAAAACACAGTAGAGCTGGGCAGTGGCACAAAGTAGCTCCAGACAAATATATTTAGATATTATGTTGTGATGACTTAGCTTAAGGAGCTAAGTTCTACCTTTAGTTTATCTATGATTCATATCCAACAGAAAACAGTGGCTTATACATTACTCCTGCAGACAGACGATGTTTAGATGTCCAATTAAAAAATTAAATTAAACAACTCTTATTTTAGGCTCTGGAGTTGCTCATTGTGCGCTGACACATTTGCAGTGGCTTGGTAGCTTTCCCCTTCCCTGCCTTTCACAATGCTTCTCACCCTAATATTTTCATGTTTTCAAAAACATATTTTGGTAATTTCAGTGTTTATGTAAAATATTTGCTCACCCATAATAAAAGAAAGTTGGAGTAAAGGTTTAAACACGGTTATCCATTCATAAAATACGACACTCTGTTAAAGATCAAGAGTATTTTTGTTTTTTCCATCAACTAGCAACATGTAACGACCGCTGACATATTAATGCATCAGTAATTACTG